CCAATTAAACAGCTTATTAATAAATTAATCAATTTACTGATTGATCATTGCTTTAAAATCACGATTATAATAGGGAATCGTAGATTAAGAAGTTTTTGGAATCTGATATACTCTGGTGGAGACACAACCCAATGATCCATCATCAAAGTCTCAGTGAATGAAATTTCGTAACATAATTGACAATTTAGCCCAAGTTTGACTCTCATACTGTCGATGTTTTTCTTCTCACCATTTCTTTCCTAGGACCTCATCAGTAATTCTCTTTACCCTCTGCCATACATTTCTTATGATGTTAGTTCCAAGAATTTGGTATTGGATCAGCTAATAATCCCTTTAGTAATATATTTTTTAAAGAAAGTGACAAAACTTTTAAGTCTGTAACACATGTTTGGACAGAAACTTCTGTCGTCTTCACTTAATTAATGTACAAAGCGTTGAAAGTTGAATTATGTAGTAAGTAGAATGCAATGCTAGTTATGATAAATAGTAACAATAAGAAAAGAGGTAAAGCATGATAGTGTGAGAATTAAAAGGATAGTTTTAGATTTACAGGGTATAATTGTTAATTCTTTATTTTCATCACTTGTCTTCTTGGCATTGTATCGATGTTGGGAGGAGAAATTCTGTCTTTGTCACTAGTGGGAATTAGAGCGTTGAATGACTTTTAAAATTATATCAAAATCAGAAATGTAGTGAATTCGTTTCTAAAAAAGTAGCTGTCAATACGAACACTACAGTTGATCGGACAGAGCGACAACATGCCTTTCATTTTCAAAGCTTGTCAATGGTACTTACGCAGTATGCAATTTTCTCCGTCACCATGGTATGTTGGCTTACAAGTACATGTATAGGATCCAGCAGTATTGTTACAATAAGCATGGACGTCACAAGAGTGTAGTCCCTCAGCGCATTCATCAATATCTAGAAATGAAAAAAAGTAAGTCCATTCTGAAAAATATTTTGGGAAACTTATAATGAAATAGCCACTTTTTTTTTAACTTTGTGGTGCAATCTTAACCCTTTCAATTCCAAGATCTCATCAGCAATACTCCTTACTCTCTGCCACACAATTCTTATGATATTAGTTTGGAGAATTTGGTATTGGATCAACTAAAATTCTCTGATCGCTATTTTTCTATATTCTCACCACTTGTCTGCTTGGTATTGCATTGACATTGTAAGGAGAACTTCTCTCATGGTCACTGATGGGAGTTAGTTTTAATTCCAAGCAGGCTAGTGAAGGGCTCTTGTTTAATAAACTCAACAGTTTCTTACCAAATTCGCAATCTTTTCCTTTGAAGCCTTTTTTGCAAATGCAGACGTAGCTGTTGTCTTCGTACTGTGCCGCGCATGTCCCATTGTTCCGACATGGCCAACTGATACATGGAGACTGTGAAACAACAAGAAGACACAAACAGACACTCCATCGCAAGTGTTTCAGGAGGATTATGGTTTGGCCAAAGTTTTCAATTGAAAAGTAATGAATTGCAGTAGATAAAATAAAATTTCATTCACCTTTTTAGTACCTCCGATTTATTTGGTAGTCAAAGTGCATTATGGAAAATATTATTGATATGAAATTCGCTCAAAGCGTCAAAACCTTTGCTAAAACTTTTATGACACCTTATAACAACCACAAGGAAGTTTTTCAGAGAACTTTATTCAGCTTCTAAAAGGGATTATGATTACCCGTTGATTGAATATACCTCTAGGGAAAACAAGAGCGTCTTATTTTAATTTACTCTTTCGTATCGGGCTCGTCATTTTCAAAGTAACTGAAGCGTATGGTCGCAAGAGTTTCATTGTTGTTTCAGAAATCAGTATTTAGTTTCAAGTTATAAATTTTGCATAATTGCAACAGTGCAGGATAATGTTTCACCTGAGATAGAAGGCCTTGGAGAAATGAAATACAGAATATTTTCTATTGCAAACCCAGTTTTGTTCTTGTTTTTTTTGGTTTAGTTTTGTTTAATTTGTGGTTTAAAAGAGAACATTTAAGCAATTTCCTTACCGTGATACTATAGTGATGGTGGCTCTGACTGTACACAAACTTGTCCGAGTTGTTAAACACGTCTGATGGAAGCAGTTCGCACAACACTTTTCCCATGAAAGCGGAGAATACGCCCAAGTTGAAGGAGAAACATGACGGTGTGTTGGCACAAACAAATCCACATTCGCTGTCTTCCAGAACATAATCTGACCCAATGCTGGTGACGTTGAGGTAGGAAAATTTTTGAGGCTTAAAGTTGGCGTAAGCAAAACCTTCACCTGTGCCTCGGCTAAGAGGTTTAATGCGTTCATCGTTGACTTTTTGTGGAAATAGAAAGTAAGGAAAAGTAAAAATTGTACTCAACTATTTGAAAGAAAAGTTCACAGTGTTCATCAAGGACTCTTACGCCTGAATTTACATACCGTTCGAGGCCTCTCCTGAGGAGACTATTGCCACGAGTATATGAAAAATAGTGCTGAATAGTTCTCGATGTTTGAGCTTCATTTTCCGTTGCACGAGTGATAGGCTTGTCCGGTCGTTTTAGTGCTCTATCACTTCCTCTCCAATTTTTAGTAAATATAGAACACCCTGTGGGTATAAAACGGCACTTCAAACTCCTATTGGCTAATCGGTTTTAAAAGCAGGTTTCGTATCAATTGAGAACCTGCATTAACAGTGAAATCAGACACCATGCACTTTCTTGAGCAATCTCCTAGAGGACCCTTAGAAAGAGAGACTTTGTTTATCCAGGAGGCGTATTATCATTGAATGTTATTAGCATTAATCACTGACTGAAGCGAAGACAGATATTTTGGTTATTGTTAAATTTGCTCTATATTCTCAAGCATTAAGAAAGTTTGTTACTTCGTAAGCAATCTTGATTCTTCTCGCTGCCTGTTTCTGTGTTTAAGATCGATGAATCTTTAAAGCGTCTCTCTTTCTGGTGGTACGGGAAGAAGGCAGACTAAGATGATATGCTAACATTCTATATTTACTTTAAATTAGAATGTTAAATTAAATATTAAACCATTTAAGGTCGTTTTAAAAGCAAATAGTCTAAAAATGCAATCACTGAATCACGCAATCTTTTTCCATTTGAAACTTTTTCTAAAGTAGCCATATCAGTCTTTCCTTCAAGTGTTTCATGATCATGCACTTGAGGCTTTTCGCTTTTCGCTTTTGCTATGCTATTGGTCGGAACTTCCACACTAGCTGAAACAACTTAGATCCAAAAACCTTAAAATGTTTCTTCGATCGTTCGACAGCTGTTATTGAATCAAGACGAATATGCTTAACAAATCTATTATTATTCTAGCTGGTGGTTTAGATGAAAGTCAACAGCTGTCTTTTTGAAGAGTAAACAACAGTATAAAAATTTTGTTTTCGTCGTTGAAAATGCACAGACCAATCTTATGTCAGTAATCTCAAAACTCTGTTCGAGAAACACATAATGATTTGGCAAAAATGTAGGCATTTGTGAGGTCTACCATGGTAGAAGTGAATTCTTCACTGAGCCGCCAGTTGCAGACTTTTTTGGGATTTTTTCTTGCTCCGGAGTCAAAGGACGATATATGAAAACTACATACATTCACTAATTTTAAAAGTTTTGAATGAGGGGATTAATAATTAACAATTATTCACTCAAGTGGAGGCAAATAGTGGTGGATATTTACCGAGCCCCTCCAGGGTAAATAACAGTTGTAGTCAGTATATTAAATAGAAACTTGAAAAAAAAATTAAAAAAATCTCTTTCTACAGATGCCCATTACCCATCAATGGGCCTATTCATGGGTTCAGTCCTGCTTTCTGTTGATATACCGCAAATAGTCGAAAATTAAACTCTTGACGCGCGATGTTCTATCTTCAGCTCTCTGGAAGTAATCAGGTGATTGGTTCCTGCCTTTCAAACCTTTCAAAACTTCTACAAATTCGCTCGTTGACACAGAAATTAAAGTTTATTTTAATTCTAGGATATGCAATGTCTCTTTACTTTTTTTTGCAATGATCATCGCTCTTACCCGTAAAAAAAAATACAAATTATTTCTATGCCCAGTGGTTGCAACATGATCAGAAATTCCTGATAAGTTGTCATCTTAGCGAAGGCCACTAAGTGCTCATGCCACCTCCGCTTTGTAGTTGCGGAATGCGGAAAAAATCTGAACTGTCCAAGCACATGATTTCCGGATATCCGACCTTGATGAGAAGCTGATACCTTATAAAAAATGGTGTCTTTTATAAATTTTTTGTGGCGTGTTCTAGGCTTTTAGTTAGTAAAATAAAGCTCGATCAGTAAATGGTAGTGGAGGAATGGAAAGACGAGAGAGGCCTGGGTCGCGTGGCCTCTGAGGCTTGTTTCGCTCCAGGTTTCGCTCAGCGCGTTTTTCTTTATCTCGCATCCAGGCCCCCATCAAAAGTATTTGTTAGGCGGTTTTATATTAAAACTTAAAATTTATAAGGCTATTTCTGAAAATATATATTGCGATATGCATACGAAATTTAAAGTCTGCATAAGATGTATTTTGCATCGCTATCTGCGTTTTAATTCTTATCAGGCGAAGACGGCTTTAATCAGAAATTAAAACACTTCGTCTTTCTTCACATACTCCAGTACAAGAAAGTATTTATCTCAGTTAGACCAGCAGCCGCGGTTCGGGTTGACGGCTAACAACTAGTATTTTATCAGCACAATCTTGTGATCAGTTTTCAGCTGTGTGTCAGCTGTCCGATGAAACTTATCTTCTGCAAAGCTAACACGGAAAAGGAAGCTAAAACACAAACACTGGTAAGCAAAAACAAGGAAAGAACAAGCATGAACCAGTTCTTGGTCGAATGGAATATATTTTGTTTCTGTATAACCAATTATTCTAGTAAACATAAAAATGTGCGGATGAAAATTCCCAAAAAAGGCAAAAAATTCATCCTTTCATCATCTCGCGCGCGGTAATTTGGCTCCGCGCGACCTGCGCGTGATATTTTACGCATGCGTCTAATTTGCATTACGTCACGAGTCACTCAAATTGTGCAACTGCTTAAAATATTTCCTTGCCACTGCGTGTAGTCCTTAGAGCCATTAGTCTTCCGTTTGGAAGGGAAGAGTTGAATAGAGTAGCCAGATTTCAATGTGGAGATTCAGTCCAGTAAGTCTTGATCGTTGTGAATGTGTTTGATGGTATCAAAATTAAGGGATTCGCGCGTTCAGTTGAGTTTCGCCGTTCGCTTCGATAGCAACCCATTCTTCGCTAACGAATTCATTCATCATCTCGCGACATTTCCCTATGCCGAGGCTTTAAGGCTTTCCGACACTCCCTTGAATTAAGCCGTCGTTCGAACGTCTACATGTTTGAATGTTCTTTGTCTAGATTTGCTGATGAATTCTTTTATTCATAGGCCTACGGCAGTCGTGCACACACTTTTATGGAGTTCATCATTGACAGTGGAGATTGGTGTCAGGCACAACACGAGTGAGGAATTGGCGAGTTTAATGTGAATGGGTTGACCCAATTCACTTTCGATAACAGTAAGGAAACGGCGAGTTTTATTGAAACTTGGCGGAATTGAAAAATTTGTTAGTAACAGAATTAAATGACAGACATGAAAATGCCTTCTGGAACCCGAGTACTTAACAACCAAGGCAGATCCTTACACGGACCCGGCCCTGTCGTTGTGGAGCATAAGCACATGAAGTTTTTGATCACCGATCGTCCCACTGATGCGACCTTGCCTCGGTATATAGAGGTAAATGCCTTTTGTTGTTGTTGATGGATATGTGAATTAGACTGAATCTTAAAGAATCTTCCTTGCTTCTCTTTAGGATCTTAAGAGGTACGATGCCCACGTTGTAGTGCGGGTGTGCGAACCGACATACAACATCGAACAGTTGAAGAAACAAGGAATCGATGTTCTGGTGGGTAAAACCGATTGATTACTATTTCTCTCGATGATACAATATTAAGGAGAAATTTAATAACCAGTATATATTGGTGTTTACTTCCGAAGGTTGCGGAATACATGCGAATGTAATCGATTTCCTCATGAAACGGCGTGGCCATTTTGTTTTTGATTTTTGTGTCCTCATTTGTGTGCAATGCTAATTTTTTAGAGGCTGTTTGATGTAGTAAAACCCACTTAGTAATTCTGATCTTTTATGGTTTTTCTTGTACTTGATCATCGCTTTTAATAAATCTATTAAATATCGCACCTTTCGTCCTGAAATGAACAATTGAAACTAACATGAACTGGTGATGTTGAAATCGAAAGTGTAGTGTTGTGGCAAATTTGGATGAACTCTGTTGTCACCAGCAGATTTTTACCCGCGTATTTTTCCTTGGTTTCGACTTGACGCACCTTTATTTATTGAATATGACGTTTCATTTTTTTCAAATTGTCGCGATGTTTCTTGTCTTTTCTCAGTTCTTTCGTTGGGTATTTGTCAGTAAGAATGCATTTCGCAGATCGATGATTTGGCTCACAAAGCAAATTAGCGAGTATGAAAACCGGCTTTACCGGCTGCGAACAACAGACTCGTAAACTATCGTCAAAAGGCGGTCAGACCAGATAGAAATGCCTGAATTTGTTTAACAATGAGAGAGAATCGAATATACCGGTATCGACGAGTAGTATTTAACAAACTTTTGAAAAATAATTGGGCCGTTATTGGGAAAATTACACATCTTTCTTTAAATGTAACGAGGAATTAAGTCTCATTGTGACAAGTTGAGCCTTTGGATCAGGGACGTATAATTTTTATCCTTAGAAACTAACTCCGATGGGCCAATAAAGTACTTTGAAGTAATCTAGATTTTTCATCATGTGACAGTCATGTTACTGCTTTCCAAAGTCCAAGATCATTTAAGATTATGTACATCCTAACAATCAGGACTTGGCAACCGGCTAATGTCTTAGAACCGGTTTGAATTGTTGATTTCTTCATGAGAAGGTTGTTGACATTTTGCACAACTTAGAAGTGTTATTTACAATTGCCATGCATAAACAGAATAAATCTACCTACATGGAGGGCATGTTCAATGATCAAAGTTACTCCTTTACTTTCTGGAATAATCAAAGAGGAATATCTCCTTACAGTAAATATACAATTTTAAGCTGACAGATAATGAGTATAGCCAAAAATATAAATGACAAGATTTTTGTTTTGTGTAAAACCAAACTTTTTTTTTTAGCCAATTGAACCTTTTGACCCCAAAGATTGATTAGCATCTAATTTCTCCTCAGTGTCACCCCTGAATCTCAAATGAAGGTCATGAGAAGAAAGGAAATGATCAGCATCTAAAGAAGCTTGTAATTGTAAACAAATTCTCCTTGTCAGCTCCTTAGGAAACATATAGAATAGGTTGAGTAATGTGCATGATGATGTCAGGATGGAAAGGGTTAAAAATCACAAGAGATTCTTGACAGACAATGCAGATAATTTTTAAATCTTGATTGAAGAAGTCAAATCATAAGAATATTTTAATGTGAATTTTCAGGACTGGGCTTTTGATGATGGTGCAGCCCCACCTAAAGAAGTAGTAGATGGGTGGCTTCAGTTGCTTAAGAAAAAGTTTAAAGAAAAGCCAGGATCGTGCATTGCAGTGCATTGTGTTGCTGGACTGGGCAGGTTTGTCAACTGTGTCTCATATTTGCTTCTAGGTCCAGTTGTTTGAGGGCAGATGAATACTAACCAAGGGTTGAAGTTTAATCCCAGTTTCTTTATTCCTTTATTCAAAAGCCTTTTTTAGATATCTTAACCCAGCTTTGAACAACCCCACCCTGATTCTTTGCAAACCTGGCAATTGAGTTATTACCTGGAACATTTGGGACAGACACAATTTAGTGTAGCTCCATTTTCTGCATATAAACACACACATAACCCACAATTCCTCCAATCGCTCTGACGAAGGGCTAATGTTGAAAACATCAGCTTTGAAACTCTTTATGGTGGCCGATTTATGTTATCAACTTGGTTGATAATACTAAATCGCCCTGTTGTACTCTCCCACCAACACAGTACTACAGTTTCTTTAGAAACTTACCCCTTTAGACATAATTTATCAGCTATTTACCCTATGACCCTTAAGATTGACTAGCATCTAAATTCTCCTTACATTATCACCCCTCAGTCTAAAATTAAGGTTACAAGAATAATGAGAATGATCATCAACTAAAGAAGCTCTTGATAATTAAACAAATTCTCCTTGTCAGCACCTTAGGAAATGTATAGAGAACAGTATGGAGAATATGCATACTGATATTAGGGTGAAAAGTCATATTCTGTCAGCTAGTGGTTGATGATGAGCAAGCTTGAATCAGCAATTATCAGGCATAGCAATTTATAGCAAGAATTGTAATTGTCCTTGTACAAATCTACCTTTTCAAATATGAATAAGATTTGAACAAGTAGATTTGTAATTATGTACTGTTAGGCTTCTTACAGAATGGCTTAACCAAAGCACAGAGAGCATAGCCAAGCAGATGAGTTTAAACTTTAGGATTCAACACCAGTAACATAAAATGTTTTGCAGAATTTTTTGAAATGATTTGTAGGTTCCATGTAGTTGCATTCTATAAGCTAACTCATTGAACATTCTCTCAATTGCAGAGCACCAGTCCTTGTAGCTTTAGCTCTTATTGAAAGTGGAATGAAATATGAAGATGCTGTGGAATTTATCAGGAGGTATGGTAACACTAAATTACTCTATGGCTCAAATGGAAGCTGACAGTCTCAACACAAAACTTGTACCCTGATTTTGAAAACTTCTGAGTATCAGTAGTCAAGTTTTGAGGCTTTCATTTTCAGTTTTGTCTTTCAAGAATTCAGTATTAAGTTTCAAGGTAGGATATTTTATTTGCTAGAATGGAATTGAAACTGCTCATATTTCTTTCAACTTATTATTTAATATTCCCTTGACAGTGATTGCAACAGAGGTATCAAGGCCACATTACAACTTTTTTCCCTACTCATTTGACCTTATTGTTCACTCATTGAAACAGATGTTGTGATTACAGCTGATGGAAACTGAAATTTTTTAGATACGTGAATAGTATTCAATGGAAATTACTAGTATTCACATTTCTTTTAACCAATAATGAAACTAGCATGTGCATTCAATGCTGAAGATTAGAGCATCATACTGAAACTGTTGCAGAGAAAGATTCATGTTTTGGGGTTTGGAATGTATCCAATGTTGTGTGAATCTGTTTTTGTGGGGGCATTTTCCTTCTGAAATTGATTAATTTGTGAAATTCTCTCAAATTCTTTCAGACGAAGAAGAGGGGCCATTAATGCAAAACAGCTCAACTATCTGGAACAGTACAAGCCTTCCAAACTACTGAAAGAGAAAGGAAGTGCCAATTGTTGCATTCAGTAAGGCAAAGGCACAGCATTCGTGATGGAATCGAACATTTTATTGAGTTAATGATCAGGTTTCAGGAAAATTCATTTTAGGTGCTTGAATTTAAAATTGCAAAGAAGCTGTAGCTAGGTTCAAAAATTACAATTCTTGATATTTTAGTCTGACTGGCAAAAATTTTAATGGCAGCTAGGACAATGAAGGTTATGAAATATGTAAAATCTCCCTTTTTTTTTCTTTTTCCCCCTCTGTCTTGTTTTTAGCAACAGGGAAATGCAAACCCTTTTGCTCTCAAAGTTTTTGTCATTTTCTGTAATCATACATAGTGGCTGCTCAGTTTTAAGAGTATAAATATTGTTGTGAGCTGAATTAAATCCTGTTTCTGGAAGAGTTGAACAACTAAAAATGCATTGATTTTCATAAATGTGCAGTAAAGTCACTAGAAGTGGACAGGTGAATGGAATTGCTCAATCACGAAAGCGGTTATGCTAAAATTTGTTTCTTTATAGTGCAGCTATGTACATGTATTTTCATGTGCTTCTGTAGACACATTTCGATATGATGGAAGGAAACAAAATTCTAAGAAATATGTAAATGTTAAGCAATAATTATAATGATATAGTAATTATATTTTCATGTATCTTTTTAATTGCTATCAATTTTTTTTTCTGCTGTGTGTTCTAGACCTCTAATGAATCCATTCATTTATTCCATTCTCAAGATCTATTTGGAACAAGAATTTGCAATTAGTATCCATCACATGTATAGTTAACTTTTCTTACATTTACGCAGAAGTATGCTTTTGATAATATTGTGTAAAGTAGTTTGGAGAATTTCATTAAATGGAGACAGCATCCCCAACCACAAATCAGTGTTGATTTTCCTTCACATGCTTTTGAAGTTATCAAGGTTGTATTTTCCTCCTTCTGTAGATCATTTCCTAGTGTTATTGTATCTGGTCATAAACTCTTCTGTTTGTAGGGGATTCTGTGAAAACTTTGTGGATGTTGTACACCGATTTCTGATGGAGTTATGTGAGGATTGGTTGGGTATAACTAATATAGTTTAAACAATTTTAAGTGTAGGATGTACAATTTTTACACATCATTCATTCCATGAATATTTTACCTCCACAATGTAATGAAGATTGTTATTTTCAGAATCATTTCAAATATTTAAAGTATGACTTTCACAAATTGTTTAAATATTGCTATTTATTTTGATTTCCATAGAAGCTTAGAAATTTACTTTTGGTTTTTGTTAATCAGTGACATCACATTGCAATTCTTGTATTTTACTCTGGGCCAAAACTCCATCTCTAATCTAATTAATCAGAGAGAAGGGAATCTAAGATAAGAATGATTTGAATGTAGTATACAAAGCACACAAAATTACTTCATTTAAATTCGCTTTTGAACACATAACAGAAATTGCTTATTTTGCTTTTTGTTACCTAAGTGCAAATGAAAAGACAAAAAATGGCTAACTTCAGGTGCTCTGGTGCACAACTGTAGCTCATGTAAGGATTTCTGATTGTGCAGATACTACATAGAAATGAGATATATCCCTTTCATTGCAGATGAATGTGTAGTTATTTTGGGTTAATGTAGAAGAGCAGTTTGAAATATTTTTTGTTTGATATTGTAACCTAAAAAATAAGGTCACCTTGGCAAGAATCAGTTGAAAGTGTAAGAATCGTGCATGACCATGTGCATCTGAAACAAGTATAATAATTTCTGAGCAGCCTCAATGTTTCAACTGAAAAATACTTTTATAGTGCCGCCAGTCTTTTGAATTTTTCTCCTTGATGCACATGCTTAGGCATGTTATTTGGTCTTGTGAGAAATTGGTTACCTTATGCCAAAAAAATGGGAGAAAATAGTAGCACCTAAACTGTACCATGTTTTCTGGTATGCGAGTTCTCAATCATACATGTACTTCCAAAAATCCCTCAAGGCTTGCAATTATGATTTTTTTGGAAGAAATTAGTGTTAGATTAGTTTAGATATGGGGTGTAATAAATGCATGAAATCTGATCAGGTTGAGTAGAGCAACTTGTTATGTTTCACACTGCTAACAGTCACTGTTGCACAAAGCAATATCTACAGGGTAAACAAAATAGTCAAAATGTAAATACAATGGAAATACGATGAACTTTTAAATCCTCTAAAATATTCCCTCTTTGAAACTTTGCAACATGGTTGAGAGCAGTGTAACAAATATTCCTAAATGGTTGAAAAATTGTTTTCCCTCACCGATATATGTTCACTTATTGCTGTACATGAGAATCTGCTTATAAACTATTGATTGCTACTGTAGTGTGTATTTTTCTATGAAGTAAAGGTATATGTGTAAATGGTAACTAAAACAAACAACTGGGAGGAATAAAGATTTTTAAACACCTGCTTCAATTTTGTGTTACAGTGTGTGTTCACAGCGGTGTGTGTCTCCCAGATAGGTAATGAAAATTTTGAAGAAATTTATATACCAAGAAACTCTCATGGCAAGCCATCACAAAAAAAAAACCCTAAGCAAAAAAAAAAAAACCCAAGAGAAGAAACCTTAATTAGCTGAGTAAATATGCTCTCATATTTTGAGAGTTAATAGTCTGATTTTTGCTGCTGGAGAAGGGGTAAAATCAGCTTTAAGGAGGTCTACATGTTGAGGAAAATATTTGTTCACTGAAAACATGTTTATGCACTGCAAAACACCGGTTGCTATGTGAGTAACTGCTGATGTACAGCCTTTTGTCTGGGTGTTTGGGCAACGGTTGACCCCCAGGAGAGGAATTCATGCATTTTACAAAGCTAGAAAATAAAATAATAAACACACTCTCATGGGCAGCTGTGAATTTAATTATGTGTAAAGCTTGAAGAGGCTACCAACTGTAATGATGTTGAAGCTAGAGAATTTTGCCAGCTCCAATCTACAAAACAACCTTGCATTACTTGAAGAAATTCTTGTTGTAACTCCCTACACTCCACCTAATCATTATCATTGATGATGTTGGCTTATAAAATGTTTGAGCTGTATATGTACCAGTACCTGCGCAAAATATTAAGGCAGATAAAACTAAAGCAGGCACATAAAACTAAGTTTAACTTAGAAATAACAAGCTGATTCTTCATAATTCTAGGCTTGGAAAACCAAATCTTTTACATTATTTTCACATGAACATGTCATCATATCCTGGTGGTGGCAAGTGATCTGGGTCAGGTCTAAACAAAAGGCAAAAAGGGTATGATTTAAAATTAAAAAAAAACTTGTGGAATGTCATGAAAGTGAAAGAAAAACATCATTTCACACGTTTCTCTCAGATACAAACTGCACAAAGATGCTTGTGAAAAACTTGTTGACCTTCTAGCCAGTAATAGACATGCTGACAAACTTTTTCAATATATTAAAGTTCACATGGCAACCAGGTGGACAATCAGACATGGTTTGATGCTACTCTGGTTTACAGATTTAATGAATGTAACCAAAGAAGTTACAATTCATAGACCCAAGATTTTGACACTCCTGTCTGGTGCCTTCATTAGGGGTGATTCACCCCAAAACTTTTTGAACGATAACAACCTGAACTAATCATTTCTTTATACAACTGTCAGTGAAATAACCTTGTAAACAACAATCACAGTCCTTACACAACAAATATTAGTGTTTATGGAAACTCACCCAGCAAATCTTCCTGACCTAGGATCAGTGCGTGATCCTCCACGAGGTACTGGTCCAAATGGGTCAAACCTGGCACCTGGAGGGACAGCCCCTCTAAAACAAGAACAGACAGCATGTTCTAGAACATAATTTTACTTGAATTTATTATTTTGAAGAAAAAAAAAGGAATTTGACAGGCAGAAAGGTAAATGTTGGTAGTATCCTGGATATTTTGAATTGTTCCAGCAGTGCATTGTACCTCCAGCATGTGTCTGGGAATACAGAAAACTGAGGATGCTAACAAAAGCCCCCTTTGTAACAATACAATACTGTGTGAAAGTAAACCACTTATTAAAATCTGTGTAGTTTTAAAAACTGTAAGAAAACCTACTTAAAAAATAAAAAAAAAAAAAGAAAAAAAGAAAAAAAAACTGACACAAAATGACAAGACAATATATACTATTTATCGTTTGACTATTGTGCCATTTTCATTTACTGACTCTTGTGGTATTGATCTTGCCTTTGAAAGTAAAGCCTGACTGATTACACAAAACATACTGAATAAGAAGTATACGGACTATTGTAAATTGTTACAGTAGTCAATCAAACCTTGGCAACTGTCCTGGGAGGGGTTGTGGTCCAAGCCTTCCAGGTCCTACCCCACCCATACCTCCTGCACGAAAAGGGTCCATCAACATGCCACCACTACCACTGGTTAGAGCATAAAACTAATTATAATCATTATGATAATAATAATATGTTCACTGTTGAGTAATTATTTGAATATGTTTTTACATGATCGCTGAACAGTTTGTAAAAAACACCACTTTACAACATGCCATTTGATGAATGTTTTTCCAAAGCACTGAAAATCAACAAAGTAAGGTACCCTTCTGTCGGCTGAATATGTCACCATCTTGCTGACTCAACAAGGTTTAGAGGAGATTGACAGACTGTTAAGTATAACTTGCAAATGACAGTCCTTGTAAACCAGAGTAATGAACATGGAAGCGATCTTTGCAGTAGTGAACACTACTTAAGCAGTAGCAACAATAAGGCCTGAAAAAAATTCAGGCCTGCATGGGATTTGAACCCATGACCTCTGCAAAATCGGTGCAGCTCAAATGATACATGAAGAGTTCAGATTCTAATAACTCACCCTGGGTATCCAGGGAACCTGTCTCCATCACCATATCCAAAAGGCCCAACTGGTGGTGCCCTAAGAAAATCATTTGCACAGTTAAGAAACTCTGTATAGTACAACTGAATTAAATGGATAATGCCCACCTTGGGGAGAAAGAAAAATTATCATTGCCTATTCTTTAGAAGAACCCAATATTCCAATGATACATAAACAAAGTAGTTGATAAATAATTAAGAAAGAAACCTTCAGCTTATCATTAGAGGTAAAAACAACCTAACAACCTCCCATCCCAAAGAAAAAAAACAACTGAAATTTGTTGTGCACATTTAATTTGGTAGTCATTTCCATTGTGGAGAAGTGGCTGTTAAATAGAATGATGGACTGACTGTTTATTCATCTGAAACTACAGTAGAACGCTGCTCACTTGAACTCCCAAGGGAAACAAAAAATGGTTCAAGTTAATTGGGGTTTGAGTTAGCTGATAATAAATGACTGAGGAATGGGTTAAGGGAAATTGGATCTTGTTTAAGGGATTCAAGTCAACCAAGTTTGCAGATTTTCCATAAACAAACAAAATGACTCAAATCACACAATTTAAAAGTATTTAAAAGCATGATTGTTACCATTCCCCATGAAAGTCTGGTGGTCTGCGTGGAGGTATTCTCAGTGGGTCATCATCAATCAATCTGCTTGGTTGCTCCCTATGAAACAGGTGTATTAATGAACTCATTAATATATACTTTGTTAAAATATAATTGCAGTTGTGAACAAATGATTATTGAGGTCCCTTTATCAGTAGGTACCTCTGATTATCTGTTCTGTTCTGTCTTCTTTCCTCATTGGAACCTGCTCTGCTGCTTGAAGTAAATTTGTCAACAACTTCTTTGAATATTTTTGTCTTCAACTGATCAAGATGTCTGAATATTCTACATAACAAAAGATAAAAATAATTATAGTTAAAAATTACTGATCTGTTACTGGTAGTACCAGAAGGTAAACATGAATGCTTCTCTTTTGTTGAAAAATAAATTTGCTTGTGCTGTCAATGGTAACTGAAATAGTGCTACCATGCTAGTCAGTGACTTGCATTTAAAATTTTCAAAGTGCCAAATCTTTGAAATCATTTAAAGTAAAAGAAATAGTTTAAACATGATTAAGTCATGAATGTACAAAACATGGTGATGGATGCAGTCTGACTGATAGACAAGATGCAAAACTTGCAAAGTGATGATTTATTAAGTGGAAGTCTTTTCTGAAATTTTTCTTAGACAAACCTGTCCATCTGTTGGGTTCCCTGTGCACAGTTGTATTCAGCTGATGTGGAAGTGTAGCTATCCACATCTAATTCTGCGTCAAACATTTTGGACTCATCTTCTTCCTAGATAAAGAATTCACTAGTTTACTTGAAGCAATCTTATGCTATCACTCCTTTGTTCATTAACATGTTCTCCTAGTGCTCGCAGTAGAATTTCGTGAATTTACAACTGTTGCACACTTTCAACTCAAATTAATAAAAATTATGTTAAACATCTTAGTTGTCAGTTCCCTATCTAACTTAACTCAATGCACTTTTGATGTGACCTTCACTGCTTAGTGTTGTTTATCATGAGAAAAAGTTTATTAACCTCAAGGAAAAAACAAACAAATGACACCTGCAACTACAAAAATGAAAAAGGTATAACTGTAGTGCTTTTTTTAAATTTATTTACAATTTTTTTAGAAAGGGCCTCTTGCAGAGGTGTCTTGTTCCATATATAAAAAAATTGATTGGAAATACTTTTACTAGGGAGGGGTGGGGAGATGTGTGACAAATTATGCAAGGTAAAATTAGAGTGAAAGCAAGATACATTTGAGAAATATAGGGTTCACTACAATATGTGTGCATTTTTGACCAAGCATGAAGTCAAGATGGCTGGATAATGGCCATGTCCTTCTCTTTGCACTTTTACAGACTCTCACAAAGTCAAGGTCAATAAAAATGCCAAACAAGCTTGGCCAATAAAGGATTTATCATACAGCAAAAATATTTTGCTTTATTATAAATCAAGAGTGACTAATTTATTTGAAGAGCCAGGAAAGAAAGCCAACTGTGTTTGTAGCACAATGCACACAAGAGTTGTTTATGATTTCTATCTTAACTACTTCTGCCACTTTTTGCAACTCTATTGCAGACATTGTCCAAAAATTATGAACTTTTTTAAGTCTGCTCCATGCAATGTTTCTCTTTTGCTGGATCTAAATGGGCAACATGCCTGCAAGATCGCAAGTGGGCAAGATTATCAGGTACCCATTTAGAACACAGGATTTGCTTCATATTGCCCCAGGGTGCTGCCAACAATATAATAAGACTCAATAGAATGTGAAATAGAAAATAAAACCATACATCGAAATTTTGTAACCTAATTGTTTATCTTTCAATCAAATAGTTGCAACCACTTGTGTGGAGGAATTACATACCATGAGATACAGCATCACTTTATCACCCAGCCTCAAGGCTTTTAAAATGTACACAGAGTTAAAGTTTCCTCTGCGATATTGAAGAGCATAAACATCATCAAGTGAATTCCAGTCGGGAGGAAGGGTCTCTCCAAAATCAAATTCTTGTTGTGTGTTTCTCTGCAGGGGAAACAAAAGGCCGAATTAAAGATCACTTCGGAAAAATGGTGCAATAAATGTTCTATGGTCGAGAGCAAGGAAAGTACTTCATTAACACCTAGTATAAAAATATTATCAACAAATAAAAATGTGGCAACTCGTTTGCAGTTTGCATTGAGTCAGCTTGTATTTTTTTCCTCGAGACAATTTTTTAAACACTACCCCTGTCTGTTAACTCACCTCCTCCCCTGAATTGATACAGCGGAATTCTCGCTCTACAAGGCAAGCATGAACAGCTAGAATAACAGCGTCAAACTTGTCTCTAAGCTTGTATAAACGGAGAAGATTTTGTACTTTCACTTCCGCCATTTTGTTATCCACTACGATGATGTTCCTTCCCAGGTTCTTGCGTTATTACTGAGTAACCGCGCCGCATGATCGAAAAGCGCGGGAAACCGTACGTTGCGCCGCGGTCTTTCCTATGAAATATTAAGACAAAAAACGAACCGAAGAATAAACACAACAGTTTACCATTGTTATCGAAAAAGGTTAGCCTTTTTCTCAAGTTTTGTGCAAAGAAGCTCACAAAATAACGCAAACATGAAGAGAACATTGGGAATGTAGGGACGGTAAGGAAACCAAGGGGTTTTATCGCAATTTCAGCCAATAATTTTGAATGTATAGTTTTCAAAATGTTCGACAATATTTTTCTCTGGTTTTTACTCTTTTCTTTTTTCTGTCTACATTGAAATTTTTATCTGAAGTTGTTTATTTCTGTTAGAAAACACGATGAGTTGCAAAGAAGAAGTGGAGAAAAACGTCTCGTCTTCAAATGGAGGTAAACTTTCGACTATTTCCCCAATTAATAACATTGATAGTTCGCACATAAAGCCATGTTCTCGTTTCTATACTCCCAATTTGTCGTACATATATTCATATTTTGGCCTAAAACAGCTAAAATAACTTCAACGCACTAAATTGTCCCTTCCCTAGTCTTTCTATACGAGAGAAGCCTACTAGAACACTATTTACAATAGCACTTTTGATATGTTACTTTATTTCGACCTTGTACTGTATATTTATCTGTTGTTTAAGGTGTGACTCCTCTGCCCTCTGTTATATTTGTATCATTTGGTTTTGGTATTTTGAAAAATGTGATTTAACTCAAAGGGTTTTTTTATTGCTAAAACTATTTTTTGCCCTTCTCCATTTTCTCTCCTCTTTGCAATCATCAAAAAGGTTTTTAATTTTTGAAATGGAGAAAAACTAAATAACAACAAACACTTGTCTTCTATTTTCTAAGTGGAGGATGAGGTTGAAGATGAGGTGCTGATTTCCCTCTGTGAATCAAGTGACACTTGTGGAGATGATGTGTCAAGCGGGAAGGTAAAAAATTACTTCTGACTATAACCCACACCCTAATACAAACCTGTTTACTTCGATACGTTAATATAGGGTACTAAATTTTGTAGGAGAACTCTTATGTTGGTTACAAGTTTGATTTAATAGAGGAGTATATCGGAGCAAAGACACATTATGATAAGATTCAGATTACTTTTTATTTTTGTGAGACCATGAGCACCATTGTTTTTATTACATGTTTTTTTTAGTTAAGTCAGGGTGTGTTAACCAGTGCTTACAGATTTCCAACGATATTTAGCCTAAAATAGTTTAAAATGTTAGAGCAACTAAACATTTTAACTTACAGCTTCTAGCCAAAAAAATTAAATTGTGGAAATTTTCTGGCAGGAAAAGAATGGAGAAACCATCAGTAGGAACAAATACAAACTACCTGAACTGTTAACAACAATAGGTCAGCGGGCTTATTCAAGCAGCGCTAATGACAAAAGGCTTACAAAGGAAGAAAATATGAAGGACGCTGTGAAACCTGTCAAGCAGGATGAAAACATGAGTGCTACAGGGACTCGGCAGGATTGTAGAGATGGTACCAAAGTGTCCAACAGCTATCCCAGTGCAGATGAAGCTACCATCGGTATTGACGAGTCGAGAACTGTAAGGTTTAAAAACAACCTCTTTGTGGTAAGAATACAGAAAAAAAATCCAACTATTAAAATCGTAGACTGCTGACGCGCCTTCACAATTTTAACTTTATTTCCTTACTGGTTATTTGTAGGCAATCGAAGAGCTGCGGATTCAGCGGGTACGTAAGCAAATTTTAAATGACTTAAGCCATGAAATTCACACTCCCACGAGTATGACCTCAAGCTGTTTCAAAACTCTGGTGAAGAGAGTGCACCCAGCCATGTCGCCTCCAGCTCTCTTCATACTTCTCGCAAAAAACTTAACTCTCCCTCTCCCCCTCCTATTTCATCGGCTATGCAGGCTTCTTATGAGTTTTTTTCTCGAGATTTTTGCTCTCACATGAAAAGAAATCGTCAGGAACAAAAACTGAAGTATTTAGGAGCACCAAGATAGGTTCGCTTGCGCATTTTTTCATTGGAGTAAAATATGCTTAAATACGTGAAAACTGACAGTGCATTGGACAAAAACAAAATCGTGTTGTCCACGTGTTGAGGTGGTCGTAGCATTTTGTAGAGTGTAAACAGCAAAGGCAAGCAAATCGCCTGAAGGGCGGAAAACACAAGTGATCATAATCGGTTTAAATTTTGGCTCTTTTTGGTTGAGAGGGTTAACGGTAGTTCTCTAAATTGATCAGAGAGCGAAGTCTTCGCTTTGTTTTTGGTCCAGAAAACTTCGGCTAATCCAATGCAATACCGGGTTACTTTATATTATTAAATTCAAATTCATACTGGTTTTCATTTTGTTATCATCATAACTATAATTTAATTTTGCGCACTTAAAAACCAAAATATATATATATATATATATATAAGCAAAATAGGCGAATGAATTGATAGAGAAATAGATAGGTAGATAGGTCGCATATTTTAAGTGTGTTCTCATCAATTTTGATTTGGGGGGGTTAAATTAGACCCTTGACGTGGAGAACGAGGAAAAAATCAGGACCCTGATGACTGAAAAACATGAAGAGGAGCGCATGAAGGTACCTCCAAACCTGCTTTTTTTGTTTTTGTTTTATGTTTTGTTTTTACATTTGAAGTCCACTTAGGATGAATTTTTAGCATTTGTTACAATAATGGCGACTTCATATTTCAGCTGAAAAAACGAACAATCAATCAAATAGATCACAACGGACTAATTTGGATAGCCTTCGAGATAAGAACATGGATAGGAGTTTTTCATTCGCGTTCTTGCTTTGTTTTCTTATTATAGAAAGGAGTCCTTACATTTCACAAGCGAGTATATTTCGTCTTATCAGTTATTAAGTTATTGAGCAAAGATTTTAACATTTTCGTCATCGGTTCCCAACTTTATTCTAGCACTCTTACTAAATCCCTCGATTCGTTTTATATTCTTTTTAGGAAGAACTGATTGCCAAAAATAACATTTTAATTGAACAAAAAACCCAGATGGAAATTGACTCGAAAAAGCAGGTAACTAATCGTGTGTAATTAAAACTAACAAAAGGAATCATCAGTCTGACGAAGAATTATCAAAAGTGTTGAGTACACCTCAATTTATTTTCCGATCAAAGGGAAGCTCATAATTATATTGTGGTTTCCACCAAAAGTTGAGTGCGCGTGAAAACAGATGAAAATATGAACCAAAGTTAACATTTAGAGTGAAAAAGTGCGGGAGTTGCATCTTGAAAACCCTAGTTGACACAAGAATCCTGATTTACAGCCCCAAGCGAGACGACGAACATCCTCATTATTTTCAAGTTAGGTAAACCTCTCCCCTTGTTGGCGGTGGTGAGCGAGTGACTCAGTTCCTGCGTTTGTAACTAATCTCACTTACAGACAAATAACAAAACGAAATGAAGAAACATATATACCTAAAAAGGTTAACTTAGAAATAAACACATATAAGGGAAGATTATATACCATTTATTTGAGAACAGTGCTGTAAATTTCAGTGTAGGGAATATTGCAGTCATAGAAAAACCAGGAGCACGAAACAGGAAGGGCATTTAGAATCAACTAATTTGACAATGGTCTCTCTTAGCATTTTTGGTTTTATAAATATAATATTGTCCAGAGGACTTGTAATTTGTTGCTAGTTTCGTGATGATGTTAACCATTTAACGAACTGTGGTCTCTAACTGAGTTAACTTGTGTACTAATGGCTTCTTTCTTTAAGCAAGAAGATCGCCTACTACAATATGAAGAAGACAAGGTAATAAGACTCCAATTATCATGAACTTGTCGACTCTTACGCTTTCCAGACACCATGTGCTGGCCTTAGGGTAGTCGTGGCGTTTGCTTTTGGCTCCATCCAAGATCTGGGCTCGAGGCCTGATGGAGGTCACTGTTTTTTATTTTTATGAAATACACTATTTTTTCACAGTGCATCACTTCATCCAAGAGTTATAATTGGTATCAATAAATTTGTAAGAGACCTGTGAAAATAAATGTGGAATGTAGGGGATACTTACTTTTGGTGTTAACCTTCATTGTACTGGTATCCCATCAGATCTAAGGGGATTAGCAAATCCCTTGTCGCGTTGTGCCATGGAGGCTGGAACAGAGATTTCAAAAGTGTGGGCCCTTACGCTCTAGTAAAGACTTTCATAGCGTAGGTGCACCTGTCTTTTTCTTGTCCTCCTATTGGAGTGGATTACTCTGTCAATTATCCAACCATTTCAGGCCAAACATGCACTGGCAGTAGAGTGTGCGGAGAAGGAACTAAAAGTATTAAAGGATGAAGTGCGAAATCTTCATGTAAGTTTCCATTGGTTATAAGTTATTGCCAATCAGTATTGAATTAATCATGTGCGTTTTACGGGAGTTTGTAGCCACAGAAACATGATTAGCTGATCAACTGATGTGTGGTATTTTCGTATATTGTTAAGGAGATTTCCACAGGAGTAGCTTCCCAACTAATCTGATCATATCACAAGTATTTTTGAATTTACGTAGAGTGCACTTGTATTATCTTGTCCGTGATTACTGAACTCCTCTGAACTGGTGATAACTTCGATGATAATGTTTGATTCAGTTGGTGAAGTACAAGCTCGAAAAGAAGATCAAAGAGCAGGTAAATTTAGAATTTATTAGCAGTGATACTGGTATTCGTCCTCTGTAAATTAAAGTTTCACCAATACTGAAATTCGACGATGACAATCTATGATAATGGTGCATGGCGGTAAAGACGAAGATAGTCGGAAAAAAGTCGGAAGATAGTCGGACAACGACGATTGTGACGAGGACGGCGATTGGGATACCGACAATAGTTACAAAAATGACGGAGACGACAAAGATTACAGTGACGACTATGATAACAAAAATGATCGAAAGGAATAATTTTGGTTGGAGCATTTGCAGTAGCGTTAG